CTCTGAAATCCCGTTCCTGTGTGCTGGACAGAAAGAAAGGAAACCAGGTATTACATTCAACATGGGGGAGGGGGAAGCAGGCAAGAACACACCCAGTAACCGTTCACATTCAGCCAACTTTTCCCCAAGACTCAATAACAAGGGAACATCTATCTGTGTAATAAAATTTGGAAGGAGGGATGGTTAAGAAAGGGAAATTCAACGGGCAGCAAGCTAAACAAGTCAGAACCCGGAGCCGTCAATGTCTCCTCCACCAGAGAAAGGGCCCCCAGGAAACGAAGGGTCAGTGGGGATGGCGGAGCTCAGCATCCCCGGGCCCCAATGCTTGGCAGAGCCTCACACTGGACCTGCAGACGCCCCGTCCCAAAGGAAGGGATTTCCGAAAGGATTTCCCTCTCTCCTCCCCACCCTCCGAGTAAATAACGCCAGCAGCACAAAGTGCGCCTTCTGGGGGACTCCAGACACCCGGACAGGACGCAAACACCCCAGACATGGAGCCCCTTCTGGGAAAGGGCTGCTTCCAGAACCTTCTCAGCACCACGCCTGCTTCCCCTCCGAGCTTTTACTTTAGACCAGAGACGTGGAATGGAAGGACAGAGAAGCACGCGCAGAGCCGGCGCCCTCCGCCAAGGTGCGCCCAGGAGCGTGGGGGAAGGGGTCGGTGGGCTCCAGAGGCCCGGCGGCGCGCGAATTGGATGCATTTCTCCATGATATTAACACTTCTAAGCTCTGATGATTCTTCGGATGAGAGGCTATGGATAGATGTCAAGTGTGGGGTGATGAATGAGGAATATTTAAGAATTTAAGGGTGAGCTTCCCCAGCTGTTTGATAACTCACCCATTGGGGAGGGGGGCTGGCTTACATCAGAACTTCCATTAGAATTGGGTTGACCAGATGTCCGAACGCCGCGCATGCTCGCTGCAGCGGGGAGCGCACAAGGAGCACCTGGCGGACTGGGTGGGCCCTGCAGGGAAGAGGCTACTGCTCCAGGGATTTTACTTGGATTCCCAGCGCCGCTCCCCGGCTCCCACTAGTCCCGGGCCACGGGCCTGGCCGCTATGGGCGATGGTGCCGCCTGCCGGTGGCGAGAGCGCTCCGCTCCGCATCCCGTATTCCCAGGCCCAGGGGAGAGAGCTGAGCGAAGGGTTTGGGGCCTGAATGTGCCTCTAAGGGACTCTTCCTCCTTGTAAAGAACCCCAGAACACAAGATTCCAACCATAATAGACCTACTCCTCCAAAACTCACGAAGTGAAAACGACTAAAATGTTTCATGTTAAACCTCCTGTTTTAAATGCAGTCTTCCCAGGTTAGAATCTGGTTCCTAGTTCTCTCCTGCTGTGTGACCTTGGATAAAGAACTCGATTTCTCGGCTTCATCTGTAAAAGTGGGGTTAATGGTAGTACTTTCTCCTTGAGCTGATGTCAGGGCTATGAAATAATTAATGTAAAGCGCTTAGCACAGTGGTTCTCAACCTTGGCTGCACATTAGAATCACCTGGGAATCTTTTTAAAATCCTGATTTCTGGGCCTCATCCTCCGGAAATTCTGTTTCTTTGTTACTAATGTTGTGGCCCCACCCCATAACAAAGAAACACTTCCCGGAGGATGAGGCCCAGAAATCAGGATTTTAAAAAGATTCCCAGGTCATTCTAACGTGCAGCCAAGGTTGAGAACCACTGGCTTAGCACACTATCTTGTACATACATTAGTTAAGAACTCAGATGATAGCTTTACTTAATATATAGGCAGGCATTGTCTTAAGGGTTAGGCTGGGGCCCATAACCAGCTGTGTACCCCAGTCCCTCTGGAGCTCACTTTCCTGTCCCTAAAAACAATCCTCTCAAGGGTTCCTTTTGGTTACAGCCGCCGCTGGTTTTAAATTAGTCTCTGAGATCTGGCATCTGACCAATTCTGGGCTGGACTGGGTTGCCTTTAAAAGGCCCACCAAGGAAGACTACAGAACCCTATGAGAGCCCTAGCAACAGCTGTGTGAGAACCACTGTGGACAATTATCTCTGGGAACTGTCTTCTGCCAATTTGCCCCTTGGGCTGTGTTTTAAATGCCTAAGTCTCAGGGCTTTCAATCCTCACCTTTCTCAAAGGAGGCCCTTCATTTCTGTTCCTGATATGTTTAAGTGTGGGAATAATGAAGAAAAAGAAAACAGACTGGACATCCCTCTCCTCCTCCATAGCCCTCACAGACCTCCTTAGCTTTCCTGAGTCGTTTCCTATGGACTCTCTCAGCCTCTGTGAGATCTCCCAAACCCCAGCATGGGCCCTCACATCCTGTAGGGGGAGCCTCTCGCTCTGTTTCACACAGTTCATCTGGCCAGGCAGGAGACTAGGTCTCCACCCCTAAATGGGCCCCCAACTTTGAGGGTGGGCAAGGGAATGGCTGAGAGCCTCTGGGAGCCAGGGAAACTGCTGGGCACTTGCAAGTGCTTTAAGCAGCCAATGAGTGCCTTATTGTCCTGCTTTTCAAACACGCGGAAAGTGTTTCAGGTGAGTTCATTTTCATGCTGATGTCATTATACAAGAGTGTAAGGGCAGTTCTCAGCCATGGCTGCACATGGGAGTCCCCTGGGTATTTAAAAAAAATGTTAATGCCGGGGTTTTACTCCCAGAGATTCTGATTGAATTGGCCTGGGGGATAGCCTGGATTTGGGGTTTTAAAACCTCCCTAGGTGATTCTGTTTAGACAAGGCTGAGAATCACTCATTCAGAAAGCAAAGACTGACAGGGATTAAAGACTCACATACTGCACACCTCAGGTATATACAGTTATTGGGGCCGAGGTTGGGGGCCAGAGAGAAAACGGAGCCCTAGATCCCCTTCAGCCTCACTTAGGTGGGATGGCAACACAATATGCAAAACAAAACCACTGGGGATGCTACCTCAGGAATGACCACCTTTTAAGTTAGGAAGAGCCCACTTCTGGAATAGGATGTGTAAAGTATGTTGGTAAATTAGAAAAATGTTTTTAGTAGTAGTAGAAAAATGCAAGACTGTTCCACAGTTCTTAACTACGTACGGACAAGGTAATGACAGGGAAATGTCCTATCACAGAGGTAATATAATACTACCTCAGGAAGCTGACCTCTCCCACCTTCCCTTTCTCTAGTGACAACTGTCTCGTCCTGCTCAAGTCAACTATTTTTTTACTAGTTAGGAATCACTCTAAATGTAGCGTTTATTCACAAACTTCTTCAACATCCCTACAGGTTCCCAACAACATATAATGTCTTAAAGGGAAAGTGATCAAAATATACTGCCAAAAAAAAAAAATGTGTACCATATTAGGGACAGTTTTCCAGTTGGAAAGAAAGAAAAAAAAAAAGAATCCAAACCGAGTTCCAAAAACCTCCTTCTAGTGCTGGCCCCACCCCTTCCCCCCAGCTGGCTTTCAATATCCTCTTTTCCACTTCTGCCCACCTCATTCCTAGGCTCCCTTAAACAAGACTTCAGTAAAGACCTATAGCTCTACATAGTCACAATAATTATTATCTATTTTTCCTTAAGAATTGTAGTATCTTTTTTGCCACTTCTCTTTGCCTTCAGCCTTACTAGGCTACTTTCAAATTCTCTGCATTCTTTACCTTATAAGGAATATCTCTCCTTGATCTTTCAGCGGCTCTTTTGAAAAAGCTAAATAAACGTCCTGCTGGAGAATTTGGGGGAGACAGACACCCTCCATTTAGCCTCACAGAGAGCACACATCTGATCTACATTATAGGATGTGGGCAGAGTTATGCGTTCTTTGGCTCTTTTTCTAAAGCTAGGTAGTTTGTAACTTAAATATTTTAGCTCAATCAGGGCTTCCCTGAACCCCCTTTCCAGGAACCTTGATTTTCACTGAAAAAAAATTTTTTTTTCTGCAGATTCTAAATGTCCCAAGTCTGGATTTCTCATTTACAAACACACTTGGAGATTAGATTTCAAGCCTTTCATACCACAGAAAGCCTTTACTGATTTCGACCCAAGACCCCTCCAGCAATTTGCATGTTACTCTCGGACAAAATATTCTTCTGCCAGTTGCACTTGGTAGTCTAACTTGTGGGCATAGTTTTTCCTGGCGCTCATACATTCTTGGAATTGTCCCCAAGGAATTCTTTCCTAATTGGGCCTCTAGGCTTAATTAGCTTCTAGAACGGAATCCAACGGTGTGAAAAGAAGTCCTTTGGAAATCTAACGCTTGGCTTGACTGACACAGCACAAGAGGCAAGCTCTTCAGCTAAAAGGATCCCTCCAAAGGGCAGTGAACAGAATGCTGATAGAGCTTTTGCCTGTTTGCATCACCCCTGAAACCATGTGGTGGTTGTCAGAAGGCTGACAGGTGGGGGTGGGGTGAGCAGGAGGGGCAGGGGGCAGCTAGCTCACTATACCATATAAAGCACTGAGCTATATATAACCCCCAGCTTACTTTTTGGATCTAGTGCCCTCAGACTGCAGACCCAAGCAAGTATCACCTTCCCAGGCAGATCTTAAGGGCTGAATTAAGGCTTCCCTGCTAAGAAAGGAGGCCTCGGGGGTCTCTGTGCCCCACCATCAAGCTCAGCCTTCTAAGCAAAAGTAGCCCCAAACTATTCCTTTAATCTAGAAGACAGGCCTCTGTCCCTTGACTAGACACACCACCGACACCAGGCCCCCCCACCCCCCAGAGATGGCCAAAGGAAAGAAAGAAATTAGGCATTCTGTTTGCACAAACCTTGGTAAGGACACCTCAGAGGTTTTCTGCTACCAGGGAGGCAAGGTTCACCCCAAGTTCAGCTGCTGTGAACTCCCAGCTCCTTACCCCCAGACCCCAGGAGTGGGGTCAAAGAAGGAGAAAGAGAGAGAGAGGAATGGATGAAATAGGAAAAGTGTGTGCAGTAGCGGTCTGTCTGCGGCAGCACCCAACGCTCTGGGCCAGGGCAGGGCGGTGTGCAGATGTCTCTGGCCCCCGGTGACTCCAGAGCGGCCGCGGGCAGGAGGTGAGGGAGGCAGTGTGTGCAAGCACTTACGTCGGTGGCCTTTTTCTCCGCCAGTTCCAGCTTTTCCTGGGCATCTTTGAGAGCCTCGGAGTATTTGTCCAGTTCATCTTCGGTGCCCTTGAGTTTCTTTTGTAGCGACACCAGCTCATCTTCCAGCTGGGAGTTGGCCGTGGGGGACGGGGAGTGGGGGGTGCGGCAGGCAGCGTGATCCCGCAGGGGAGGGGTGTGGGTGCACAGAACCAGAAGGACAGGGACAGCGGGACAGAGAGAGGGAAAGACAGGGAGGGAGGGAGGGAGAGAGAGAGAGAGACAGTTAGCCATTCGTGCGCCGAGCCGCGCGCCCCGGTACCTTGGCGGCGGTCTCGTCGGCGGCCAGGAGGCTGTCCTCCGCCTTGTGCAGGTCCTCCAGCACCCGGTCCCGCTCGTCCTCCGACGCCCGCAACAGCTTCTCCTTGGC